TTTTATAATTTAACAATTTTTTTTTAGAATCAAGAATGTATCATATTCATAAGGATTTCCCACGATGAAGAAATGAAGCAATTAAAAGAAGTATCTAAAAGGCTGACAAATTTTTCAAGTGTAACACTTCAAATCACAAAAGTTATAAAAAGGCAATTCGAAGCAATGATAATTATTAATATTATTATATTAACACTTTTATTTCCAATTTCTATCCTTACAAAAAATCAAGAAAATAATTCACCTTTATCCAATAATAATAAACTATTTAATTTTCTTTTTTATATTAATAATTCAATATTTATTGCATTTATATTTATTATCTTTTTCATAGGATTAAAAGTTTCTATTAGACATTGTCTAAAATGGGAAAAAATTTTAATTAAAAAAATTTTCAAGATATAACCTCAGAAATAGAATTTTTGTTCTCACGCAAGGGTTCACTAAAAAAATGTATAGGGCATTTTTTGTAAGTTTTTCAAAAAATGAAAATTTAAATTAATTTAATTAAAAAATAATTAATTTAATTTAAAAAATTTATCAATTTTTAAATTTAGGCTGGTAAAAAATATCCTAATTTTAAATCTCATGAAATTATTATTTTTAATTCTTGCAATAAGATTAATTTTCTTAATGTTTATTTATTAAATTAAATGAAAAAAATTTATTTCCCTTTATAAATTATTTTAACATTAAACTAGATAATTTATTTTTAAAGTTGTTGTTTATTAAATTAATAGGTTATTTGCAATATTAAAGTATGATTTATTTCGTCACTAGTTAATTATTTTATTTGAAACTAACAGTTGGCAAACATGAACAAATTTCACTAAAAATATGTAAGTTTTTAATTCTAAAAAACAAAAAGCGCTACATAGCGACTAGCGCTATTAGTAATTCCACTGCTGAGATCAGATTCGTAATCAGCAACCCCAAAAACCCCTAGAACTCAAGCTCACAAAAAATTTTTGAGTTACTTGTTTGCATAGATATATTTTTTGAGGTTAGAAAAAAAATCATAAGGTGATGGAGCAAATCGGACTTCAGATTCGTGTTCAGCGCATCAAAATACATCAGAATATCATATTCACACTTTCACAGAAAATTAAAAGGCATTAAAATAAGCTGCAACGCTTATTATTTTTATCAAATTTTTGCTTATTTTAATACCAAAATGGATTAAAATAAGCAAAATTTGATTAAAATAATAAGCGTTGTAGCTTATTTTAATGCCTTTTAATTTTCTGTGTTGTGGTTTGCTTTGGAATAAGGTCCCATGCTATATTGTTGAAAAAAAGAACATTATAGAAGTAGAAGAAAGTGATTATGAATATTATTTGGAATTTTATTAATAACGAACATGAATAGATGCGCGCCTAAGGGTGACACAGTTTTTCATGCAGAAACAGTATGCCTCGTGTGCTCATTATAATTTCTTGTGGCTAACCCATGAATTGCAAATCTGTGTAATCGGCTAATGGAAGGTGACTGTAGGGGAGTGTCCAACAGAAACCCACCAAGCACTATAACTAGAATGGATTAATGTTAATACAGTTCTTAACACTTCGCTATATACATACATGTATATGTATACCATATATATATATATACTTCCGCACATATTCAAATGATTTTATAAAATACATACACGGAGAAAAAAGATTTCTTTTATAAAGTAACTTATACTACTTTCAGAGTAAAACTGGACCAACTCGAAGTTTCTGCGCATCTCTGGCAATTTTTACTCCAAAAATAGTAAAATTTACTCTAGAAATAGTAAAACTTACTACGGAAACAGTAAAATTTACAACAGAAATAATAAATTTTACTATTTTTGGAGTAAAAATTGCCAGAGATGCGCAGAAACTTCGAGTTGGTCCAGTTTTACTCTGAAAGTAGTAAAAATTACTTTTTCTTTTTCTCCGTGTATGTACATGCTTTTGTGAAACTTTAGCAAAAGAATTCAAAATTTTGATTACTTAATTGTTGCTAAATGGGGTTACATAGGTTTTGAACGCTACAAAAAATTACATATTATTTACATTTAAAAAATTTGATATCAAACTAATTTTTAACAGTAGGGGTGTGTCCATTTGGCAGAGAATAGTTCTTTTATATTTTTATTGTGGAAATTTTCTTATTTCTAGAAAATCGAATTGAACTTTTGTAAACTGCATTGGTTATAGTTTAGAGAGAAAGAGAGAGAGAGAGAGATTGTTGCCATTGTTCGTTGGGGGAGGATTCTAGAAACTTTGTGACTAAACTCCACTAGACGTCAAAACTCAAAGCCCGAAACAAGTCTAGAGCGGTTTTAGAGTTTGGACCAATACAATCCTCACTTTCGCACTATACGACCACCACACAAAACAATGTTCAACAAAACCACTTATTTGTCTTTCGTGAATTAGTTTCCTATTATTTAAGGCAATCATTTACATTTGGATTAAATAAACCCCAATACCGTATGAAAATTCTTTCTCGAAAATAGCAGCATAAAATTTAAATTAAATTATTTACATTTACTCAAACTTATAAAACTAAGTTATATGGTTGATTCTCTTGAGTTTGTCCTTTTTAGATGTCCCGAGATTAATTTTATAAAATCTATTCACTCATAATAATTATTGGCAATTTTCATAGTGAAAAATTTTTGATATCTTAGAGTATTAGAAAAAAATTAAACTATTTTATTAAATAAGATTTGCTATAAAATCGCAAAGAAATTCAATTTGAAATATTTTACTCTCTTTCTTTTGAAAAATGTAAATATAAAAAATACTGACACAGACTGACACTTTATCGATTGATTTTAAAAAATTTTTTAAATGAAAATATAAAAATACCGACACAGAAATCTACCTTACCGACTGATGGCAATGATTTTGATAAATGAAGATATACAACATTATCGACATAGAAATCTACCTTACCGACTAATGGTAGAAAAAATTCCCAGAATTTTTCTCAAATTTTTTTTTACTATCAGTCGGGAAGGTAGATTTCTACGTCGGTAATTTTTTAGATTTTTATTTTCAAAATTTTTTACCAACAGTCGCTGAAGTAGATTTCTAGGTTCACTGGTACATTTACCCTACCATATAAAGTAAATTACAAAAAAAAATAAAAAAAAATTAAAAAAAATTAATTTGAAAAATTAACATTGATAATAAAATTTTTTTCATTCCAAAATTAAGAAAAACGAATTTTTGTTTCATGAAATGCAACAGAAACTATTGGCCAAGAAATAATGTTATTAATTTCAGAAGAATGTAAATAGATTTTTTTTTATAGTAGTCGAGATAAAAATTATGAGTTTTCATTTCTTTTGAGCATTAAAAATTGCGTCAGATCAGGTGTGTGTTGATGTAAATATTAAATTATTTGACAAACACGTGTGGTCTGGTAAAATACAAGTTTTGAGTTAAAATTAAAACACTTTTTTTTTATATGATTGTGCATAAAAACCTGTCTTAGAATTTTAAGAGCCAATAAAATTAACTTTAAATGCTAAACATTGTATATAAGAATTTTATTTTATTTCTTTTCTTTTTTTACAAAGATAATAATTGAAGCCTTTGCGAAAATTTTTGTTTATTATCCGCGAGAAAATGGTATAATTATTTCGAGTTTGCATTTGTGGTGAAAAAATAAAAAAAAAGTGTCTGACTTTCATGACATTAAATTATTATACGAAAATATTAGGGATAAATTAAGTTTAAGTAATGTTTATAATAATGTTTAATTTTATAAATTTTGTGTATGATTAAATTTTCAAAAAATTTCTTTATATTTAATTTTTCATTAATTTTTTATTTATTTATTTTTTTTCATCATTTAATTCAATAAAATTTAAATTTGGCGCCATTTTTTGTAGTTTTGTTTTACACTGTTGGCACTTGTATACTTGAGTCAATTTACAAGATTCTTAACCTAAAAATCCAAAATTCTATCATTTAAAATTTTGTAACTCAAAGAACATAAAAAATTTTTTTTGACTAAATTGAATGTGTAAGTGCTAATGTAAGTGTGAGTGTAAAAAATAATTTTATCAAAAAAAATGTCATTTTTTTTTTATCTCAAAATTGCTTTTTGATTGTATAATTTGTAATAATTTTGTAATAAATAAAATAAAAATTCAGGAATGTAAAATATTTTTTTTTTCAAGCACTTTCATTTTGATCATAGTGAATTGTCAGAGACGTGATTGGCTAATTTTCCAGTTTCACGAAAATTGACACGGTAAATAGTTAAAATTGGCCTTTCAATTATTCGATCAACAGTATAGTGGATTGCAAATAAATTGAGAGCGGATGTTGTATGCTCTTCAATAAATGATTAAATTCAGAAAACAAAAGAAACATATATGAACATGTGTATAAATATTTGCAATTGGCCAAAACGTTTGTTAACAATTTTGTTCTTTAATTCCCCCCTCATATATAATTCATCTCACAAAATTTATATTTCAATCAACATAAATATAAATAACATTGAAATATTTTATTTTCTCATTTAATTGAAATAAACAATTTATATTCTTGACAAATAATTATTTGTTTTTTTTCAATCAAATCAATAAAAGCAGCACAATGCAAAAATAAAACAAAAGGTTTTAGTTCTATTTTTATGCTTTATATTTATGAATTTATTAGATTTTTTTAAATTACGATTATTGAACTCACAGTACAATTAATAATTTGAAAATTAAAATTTTTCTATAACGGTTAGCATAAATGAAAGTGGACAAATGAATTATAATTCCTTTATTCAATGTTATATTATATTTTTATAATAAAAAGTAAAATATTATAATTAACAATAATTGCCTTTCGTAATTGGCAGTAAAATAAAAATTACAACGAAACTTATATCTAATTGTGTAATATAAATCGTAACAAAAAAAAAAATTAACATTAATTGAGAATTATAGACCTGTTAATAAGTGTAAAAAAAAAATATTAAAAAAATTTTATTTTCAAAATTTTTAAAATTCCACTCAAGATTATAATTCAATTATTCAACACAATGCGTTATGAAATTTATTATTTTTTTTTTAATCATAACATAAATATAAATCGGATTTAATATTTGGAAAAAAAATACTGTGTCATAATGATGTGTTTTTATAAATTATTTAAACCAAGTTAACAACAATAGCTCGATACTGATATTGTTTAATATTATACAAAAAAAAAAACAACATAATTTGTATAATATTTATACAGAAAAATATTATTTATAAAAAATTTAATACAAACATGAATTTTTATACAAAAAAATTCTAGATTATTGACAATGATAATAATAGGGGGGGGAGGGGACGCCTGATTATCCCACAAAAAACATTAGTTAGAATTTTTATTTTCAACAAATTTATTAGATATAATTATTTTTTTGGACAAATTTTAATTTTTTTGAATTAACATTTGTCGGTATTTCTTTTTTTAAAGAATTTTTAATAAACAAAATTTTTAGACACCGAATTTTTATTTTTGTCAGAATTCTTAAAACGCCAAATTTTTATTTGTCCGAAATTGCAAATGGCCGATTTTTAAAATCTACCAATCACGATTTTCTTGACAACTATATTTTGATTGGCTATAAACATCGCGTCAAAATCGATTGTTTGTTCGGTCATTTGTAATTTCGGTCAAAAAAAAAATTCATAAAAATTTTGTTAAGTAAAAATTTGTTTAAAAAGAAATTCTGTCAAATGTTAATTCGAAAATTAATAAAATTGATCTTAAAAAATAATTTATACACCTAATAAAATTTTTTTAAAATGAAAATTTTAAACCCCTAATAATTATACTACCAATGATTTTATTTTCAATTTCCGTAATTTTCTCCAGTTGTAAAATTTTTTTAAAATTATAATTAAAAAAAAGAGGAATAAACATTTGTTTAAATTTTACATAAACAAAAATTTTTCATATAAATTTTATACAAAGAAATTTATATATAGTAAATTACATACATTCCTGAGATTCCTAAACTGAAATAAAAATGACCGGATTTTATTTTGTCAAATTCACTCAATAAGTTCGTCGTGTTTTTTTTTGGGGCAAATAAAAAATTTTTTAATTAACGAAATTTGTTAATTTTCAATAAATATTTACAGAGAAATAACAAAAAATTAGATGTAGATATTTAAAAACTTATTGACTAGATATTGTTCCGTTCGGTTGTTGTTGTTGTTGTTGTTGTTGTTGTTGTTGTTGTTGTGATGATGATGTTTCTGTGGATGATGGTAAATCATTTGCCACAATTTCCACTTTGTGATCTGTTATTAATGCTAATATTTCATCATTATGCAATGTACTTTCCACTTTATTTTTATCGTAATTTTCTTTTTTCGATTCATTTTTTTCACGTATTTCACTAAACTTTATCCTATTCATAATATTAGTTTCTCCTGTAAAGAAGAGAAAAAAATAATTGTCATAATATACTTCTATTTAAATGGTTACTTTCTTTTTTTACAATGTTAAACGAAAAATTATATTGGCAAAGACTCTCTTAATTAGCGGATAATTAATTTGAGAGTACTTCAGCTAAGAGGACGACGGCTAATTTGAAATGCCTCCTAAACGTTAATGAGTTTTAGTTCGAAAGCATTGAAACTTGAAATATGTTTCCTAGCCATGAAAACTTCTCAACTAATTACGTGTCGTATATATTTTTGATATTCATTTTCTTAATCAAAATTTTCATTTTATATTATATATATATATATATATATATATATATATATATATATATATATATATATGAGGCATTCTTCGTCAACGGGACCCTCCTGCTCTCCAAAAATGGTTTATGTTTAAATTATCGGGCATAGGCTTAAAATTTAGCTAAAAAGGAATACTTTTAAATGCCGAATGGCACTTTTTGAAATTTCAAAATGGCGGCTGAAATATGGCGGGCGAATTTTCAAAAATTAATTTAATTCGCTTGAAACTTGTTACTCGGGGGTTTTTGGGGTCGCTGATTACGAATCTGAAGTCAGAATTTCAAAATTCAATATGGCGTATCCAATATGGCTGACAATTATTTAAAAAGGCCTGGAGATACTTGAAACTTGTTACTCGGGGGTTTTTGGGGTCGCTGATTACGAATCTGAAGTCAGAATTTCAAAATTCACTATGGCGTATCCAATATGGCTGACAAATTTTTTAAAAAGTGATTGGATTTGCTTGAAACATGTTACTCGTAGGTTTTTGGGGTCACTAAATACGAATCTGAAGTCAGAATTTAAAAATTCAATATTATGGATCCAGTATGGCGGACCATTTTATTTAAATGTAAGTTTTTTAATGAAAATTGTTACTAAGAATGTTTTAGAGTAGTTGATTGACATGATAAATGTTAGTTACTGGTTTTTAGGTTAGCTGATTACATAAACATAAAGTCAATTTTCAATCATTCTAACTGTGTAAAATATATCGGACGATATTTTTAAATTTTATGAGATTTTCGTAAACTTGAAAAATTTTAAAAAAAGGTTTCTGTGCTACCCAGGTCTATCACTGTCATATCTTTCTAATGAGAAATCTTAGTACTATGAGTATTTGATCATCAACTTGTCCTAAATTATAATTTTCTAAAATAAAAAATGTACTGATTTTTCCTACTTAATAATATACCTGAATATTCTCAAGGTATTGATTCTCAGAAAATTCCCTAGAAAATCCCGGATTAGTATTGGAAAAATGGATTCCCGAGAAATTTACTGTAATTTTCGTAAAGTTTCTTTTTTCAAATTTCTAGAAAATCTCTTGAATTTAAAATAGTTTTCGTGACATAGTTAATCAGCCATATTAAATTTTTAAATTCTGACTTTAGATTCGTATATAGCGACCCCAAAAATCTTCGAGTAACAAGTTTCAAGCAAATCCAATCAGTTTTTAAAAAATTGGCGGCCATATTAGATCCATAATATTGAATTTTGAAATTCTGACTTCAGATTCGTAATCAGCGACCCCAAAAACCCCCGAGTAACAAGTTTCAAGCGAATTAAATTAATTTTTGAAAATTCGCCCGCCATATTTCAGCCGCCATTTTGAAATTTTAAAAAGTGCCATTCGGCATTTAAAAGTATTCCTTTTTAGCTAAATTTTAAGCCTATGCCCGATAATATAAACATAAACCATTTTTGGAGAGCAGGGGGGTCCCGTTGACGAAGAATGCCTCATATATATATATATTTATTTCTTTTAGCCGAATTTATATTTGCTCAAATTATTTTTTGAATGAATTTCCATTACGATTTTATATATTAGAGAATTTTTATATAATCGAATATTTATTTTACAGAATTTTCGATTATATTAAAATTTTGTATTTAAAACTGGAAAATATTTTTTTAAAAAATTTTTAAATTGGAATTTCATTAAAAAATTTGTCACGTTTCTAATATTACTATATTTATATTTGTTAGAAAAAATATGAATACTTATTCATGTATTTAAAGTCAAAAAGGCATCAAGAAAATAAAAAGTTTATTAATGTAGTGTGCTTAGCGTAGTGGTTAGTGCGTTGGGCTGTAAGTCCATAGGTCGTAGGTTCGATTCCCTTTGTACTTGAGTTTTATTTATTTCATAGGTTTACGTTTTTCCAAGGTTCTTTGAATAAATATTGTATATAAAAAAGTAGAAAATTAGTTTCATGAAAATTCTTTGCTGAAAAATAATTATTGACAAATAAAAATTCAAAAAAAAAAAAAATAGAAATTCTGTGAAGTGAATTTTCGGTTATATATTAAAATTCTGTAATATTAGAAAATCGGTTTAATGAAAATTCTCAAATTCTGTAAAAAAAAATTAATTCTAACAAATAAAAATTCAAATGAATAGAAAGAATTGAATTTCCGGCTATTTGAATATTCCATTGTAGAAAATTGATTAAATGGAAATTCTGATAAAAAAATTCGTAACAATGTAATAATATATCAAGAAAAAATTACCGAGAAAAGATAAAAAAAAAAAAAAAATTGGGTAAAAAAAAAGAAAATAGAGAAAGTAAAGATACAAAGAAATAAAAACAGGTATTACGTACTTAGAGCAAATACAGTTTGAGAGTTATTACTTGTTTGCATCTCTTGGAAACATTCTATAATATTCTCGTCAGTTTCCAAGATTTGTAAAGATTCCATTGCACTCAGCAAGCGAATAGTTTTGATCACAGATGGTTTCATATTCAAAAACCAAAGTTGATGATTCCTTGCCTCAAATTCCTTTCGAAGTCTTTCAATTCCCTGTACAAATTTTTTTTTCTTTTTTATTTAATTATTTGCAATTATATTTGAGAGAAAAAAAATTATTTTTCAAAAAAGAGAATTTTTTTTTCTTACAACAAAATTTAAATATCTATATTTACATTAAAGAAAAAAAAATTTTTTATTTAGAAAATTATTTTTTTAATTTAGAAAATTATTTTTTTTTTATTTGAAAATAAGAAAATTTGATTTAAAAAAAATAACTATTTATAATTTTTTTTTTGTCGTATTTTATTTATCCAAATATTTCTCTAATGAATGTTCCGCCTATGAGAAAATTAACATAAAGTAATTTTCTACGTACTTTTATAGCAGTGTAGTCAACTCCCTTGACATTTTGACAGTCAATAATGACAGGCAATCCTTTACTATTCTGGACTTCTCCAATTTCTGATATTTTTTGCGTCAGATAATTAACTTCCAGAAATTGCAGTCCATCACTTGGTTTAAGTAGCAGATACTTGTCACCAAAATGTGTCTATATAAATCAATACTCATTATTATATAAAACTTCCCATTTTATGTGTAATTTTTTATATAATTAAAAAATCCATATTTCTATTTCAAAAAAAAAAACCTGCCATATCAAATGAATATAATTATTACTGCAAATTTAAATTTTTTTAAATAAAATTCAACATTTTATCAATAAATAATTTGTATCATTAAAATTTGTACTGGTAAAATAATTTTTTTTTTTAAACAAAATTAAAATAAAAAAAATAAATTTTTTTTTCTTTTGAAAATAATTTTAGAATTTAAAAAATACAATTATCCTCACAGTTTTGTAGATATATTTTTTGTAAGCACCTTGCATTCTGTCACAGAAATCTTGGGCCTTGCAGATTGTAATAGAAGATAAATAATATTGCAAATTGTACCAAGAAATAGACCTGTTTTAACATTAATTGCAACACATGCCGTGAACGTAACCAAACATGCTATTGCATCTGATTCTAAAAGGCGGGGAAAAAAAATTCACATTAATTTTGAAAAAAAAATTTTTTTTTTTTTAGTAAAATTGATTTTTCAAAGAGGAAGCTTTTTAATTTATTATTTTTATATATGAAAATCAAATTAATTAATTTTATTGTATTTTTAGGAGCTTTTTAGGAGTCTCTTAGCGCTTTGGTCAAGCGTACTATAATGTGAAATTTATGAGTTGATAATTTTCTTATATACTTTGGTTAATGGTGGGAGAGACGCGCACTATTGGTTCCCCCACTACTTTACGGTAAGCAATCAGCGATCGCTTGCTCCCAGTCTAGGCGCTGTGACCAATGGTGCGCGTCCCCCCACTATTAGCTAGGTATATAACAAAATTCTACGAGGTAGAAACCCACAGTATTGCACAAATACTTGACACTTAATAACTAAATTAATATCTACACAATTTTTTGTTATTTTTGTTTTTGATAACTAAAGTAATATCTAATTTTTGTTATTTTACCTTTTTTATTTAACATTTAAAATATTACGTATAAAATTGTTTTTATTTTACTTTTTTGTTTTTAATTAATATCAACAGAATTTTTTTCCTTTTTTTGTTTAACTAAAACAAATTTTTCAATTTCTTTTTTTTTAAACTAAATTAAAAAAACAATAAGCTAATACCTTAACGTTTTAATAATAATGCAAATAAATTTTAATTATATTAATACAATTCGTTTTTAAAAAAAAAATTCCAAATCGCCCCATATAAAAATAAAGGGATTTTAGAACTTTTTAAAAAATTTCCTTTTTCTACTGATATAATGAAAAAAAAAACGATTGTCTTATATATTTTCAACCTCGACACTGCATTCCTCGAGGTAGGTATTTTGCCAACGTATACAATTTTTCCATTTGTACCCCACTCCACATTTTCCTCTTCAGTTCCTTCACCAAATCCATAGAATGATATTATATAAAGTTATATAAGTACGGACTCAGCAGACCTTATTTGATTCGCTTATCTTTTATCCAAAAATTTCATCCTCTATTGACTTCTCTACTTTATTTTCTAATCCCTACTTCTCGCATTTTACAATTTTTGTGTGTTTTTTTTCATGATTTTTATATTTTTTGTTGCTTTCTCTTTGAAAAAAAAAAATTGATGTAAAAAAAATAAACTTACTTTTTCCTTTCCAAAGTAATGGCACGAGGCGCCAATCAATCATAAAAATAATTGCACTTATAAGTACTGCAGCAAGTGTTGCTTGTGGAATATAGTGAAAATAGGGTGTCAAGAAACTTAACGCTAAAAGTGTCATTGTTCCTGTTTAAAAAAAAGAAAATTAAATAATTATCATTATATTTAGTAAAATAATGAAATAAAAAAAAAAATTATAAATATATTTTTATAAATATTTTACAAAGTTGAAGTACACAACGTTTATAATAAACAATTTTTTAAGAAATAATTTTTTAAAATAAAAATTCTTTAATTTTTTGCTAAAAAAAAAAATTTTTTTTATAATTTGTTGATTAACGAAAACTACACAAGAAATATTTTTTAGGCAAAAAAATTATAGAATTTTTTAGTTTAAAAAATTTTTTCTTTAAAAATCATTTATCATAAACGTTGAGTACTTTAGTTTTGTAATATTTTTATAAATATATTTTTAAATATATTTTTATAATTATAAACATTTTTAATAATTATTTTTATAAATAATAAATAATTTTTATTAAGAAAAAAAAGGAAACATTTTCTGCTTGTTAGATTGAATAAACGAAATAATAAATAAAGCACTTGACAAATGAAGGATTCAGTCAATGAAAAGTGACAGAATGTCGTATCTGTTAATAAGTTGGGAAACTAATTAAAGAACTGAAATGGCAATATTTGCACTGCAATGGCAACAAGTTTCGCGTTTGTTGTTGACATTCTCAATTGTTGTTTGCCAGTTAAATACACATTTCCAACAATTCTCAGATATACGGAAAAAGACGTTACATTATATTATATTGATTATGAACATTTTCACAATACCTATAAACATTGGAGAAATTCCACGAGAAATAAATAAAATTCATTCTTATAGAATTTCAATAATATTAAATAATAATATATAATAATATATAATAATATATAATATAATATAATATAATATAATATAATATAATATAATAATAATAATAATAATAATAATATTATTATATAATACACTGAAAAAAATTTATTTAATTTCAATAATCCATTATTTGACTATCATCAAAGAAAAATTATTTTGTCCAAGTAGATATTTATTTGATAACTGTCAAGTAAACGATTATTTGAATCAAATAAATTTTTTTGTGTATAATATATCTGACATGTAATTATAAAGTGACTAATATTATTTTTCCTTTTTTCTGTTTTAGGTAAGAGTCCATGTTCTACGATATTTTTGTAAGTAGAAATTTTATTTAAAAAAAAAAAAATTGGTAAAATTTTGCAATATTCTACACTGAAAAAAACTACATATTTGGATCAAATATTTGATTTTTGATTCGAATTAAAATTCGAACCCTATACGGGATTCGAACCCCAGACGCACTACCTAATCTAATATCTAACCTGAGCACTTTAACGACCACGGCTATTGAAATTTCTTAAATACTTTTATTCAACCTGTCTATATTTGAAACAAACATTTATTTTTTAACTGGAAATAAAAAATTATTGATACAAGTAAATAATAAATAATAAATAATAAATAATAAATAATAAATAATAAATAATAAATAATAAATAATAAATAATAAATAATAAATAATAAATAATAAATAATAAATAATAAATAATAAATAATAAATAATAAATAATTAAACCAGATAATTTTTTTTCAGTGTGTGTACTATTATGTTTAATTGTTAAACTTGCAATTTATAATAATAATTATAAAGAGGGAAATGCTATATACGTTAATTGCAAGGTTTATTTCAATTAGCAAATATTATTGCCACATTGAAAAAAGATATAAATTGCGATAGTGTCAAATGATTCATATTTATTTATATCATTATATAGTATCCGTTAGATTAATAATTATTATCTTTGACTTATTTTACCTGAATAAAGACCAGCCATTGGAGTTTGAACTCCACTTGCACTACTCAAGGCACTTCTTGTAAAAGAACCACAAGTTGGCATTGACGATACAAAACTGCCTAATATATTGCAAACACCAAGTGTCCTCATCTCTTGTGAAGCATCCACTAAATCTCCAGTTGCTATCACATTTAAATTAAAATTATACTTAGATGTATAAATTTTTTGTTTTTATTAATTAAAAAATTAATTAAAAAAAAACAAATCGAAAAATTAATAAGAAAAATAAATTTTATCAAAAAAAATAATAAAAAGAAAATTAATTTTAAAAAAATTTATTATTAAATTAATATTTTTTTTTAAATCCAATATATTTAAACAATGAAATTATATAAATTTCGTATAACATACCAAAAGCTTTAGCAATTGCAACGTTTGTTAAAACAGCAACAAGTGGAACAATAATTAATCCTGAACCCAAGTGCGAACACATGTCGAAAAATGTGTAAGTTTGGTTGCCTATTTGTGATGTGATATTGGGAAATTTAAATGGTGGCAAACCCGAAGTGACATTTCCTATTTAAAAAAAAAAATTAGAGAGAAAATAAATAATTACGTTTTTTCAAATTTTGCAAAATATCCTATTTATTTTAAAAAGAAGAAAAAAAAATGTTTAATAATTTTCCATTAACTTTTTTTTTTCATTTTTACAACTGAATATTGAAACAATGTTTTTCAATTAAACTGTATAGTAAATTTCCAATTTTAAACTCTAATTTTCAGACAAGAAACTTTAATTAGTTTCACAGAGAAATTTGTTTTAAAATAAAAAATTATGTTTTTTAAAAAAAAAAAAAAAGAAATTTGATCATCAAAGGGTTGATTAAGAGGTTTATTTAAAATGTAAATTCACCCCCCCCCCCTCCCAAGTAAATATTGATATTTTGTAATACTATACTAATTTCGTAATTTTCAATCATATTTGTGCTCGTAATTACAAAAATTAAAAAAAAAATTTACAGAAAATTTAAAAAATGATTAATTAAAATTTATCGCTTAAATAAATGATAATTAAAAAATGATGAAAAAAAAATTTGCTATAACTAATTAATTTTTTTTTTTTTTTTTTGTTTCCAATTATGAAAATATTATTCGTACCTGAAAGTAGAAATGGCTCGTAACCAACTATACTTAATTGATATGCCGCAATTGTTGACGCTAATACAACGACAACATTACGACCAGTCGAAAAAAACCATAGGATTTTTTTCAAAAATTTCCCCTTTGCAATGTTTTTATTATTCTTTAAACTTTTCCATTCGATGTCCTTTAGGGTCTATGTGTTACATGAAAAAAAATTAATCCGATAATATTATTAATATTAATTAATTAATATTTGGTATTAATAAAATATTAAATTTATAACTACCAAAAACATTTTTAGTAGCATTCATTTTTTAAAATAAATGGTAACGAATTAGAATTAACGATAATGAAGATTTATAGTATATTAAATAGCGTCGGTAATAAAGATTTCTACTTTATCAGTTATTGGGAATCGTCAGAAAATTTAAGGTTAGGAATGACGTCACTGTTTGTATTTTCTAACAATTTCCAAGTATTTTTATAATAATTAATACCACAAATATCACAATAAAATTTTCTTAACACTAATTGTTCGTAAATCAATAAATAAAATAAGATATTTAGTTAAATTTTTTATAACAATTGAATAATTGTTTAAAAAAATAATTGTTGTTATTTTATCAATTTTTCTCACTGCATCACCTAGAAAATTGCAATTTTTATACAATTTTGCGACTTAATCAACTAAACGAAACAAAAAATTTAAATTTAAATAAAAATTATTTAAACAATTATTTCTTGTTAATTAATAATAATATTTTCTACTGTAAAACTTAGAAAGATACAATTTTTTCCCATTTTTGCAACTAAATATAATAGCAAAAAAAATAATTTTTTTTTTAATATTTATCTAAACAATTGAGGGGCTGGAAACAATAACAACCAGTACGCTCGGCCGGTCGCTTTGAAGCCAGTCAACACGTCAAAAAGGTGAAAAAATTGAAACTCAAAATTCGGATTTTTCAGAAGCATTACTTTATAGAAGATAAAAAAACATATCTTTTTTCTCTCAGAAATTTTTTTCTAAATCTAATATTTTTGATAATAAAAGCAAAAAACCCAAAAAAAAATTTTCTCAAATTTAATTAAATTTTGAAATATAAACGATCATTTCTTTCACAAATAGTAATAAATTTGTTTACAACTTGGTATACATACTAAATTAAGTCTAATAAAGCCATTAAAACATTAGAAAAGGCAAAAAAAATTATTGTTTTATTATTTTTAATTAAAAATTGAAAGAGGTCGATATTCACATTTTTTAACTTTTGACGATAAAATGTCTGCAGGGAATTTCAAAACTGTAAGAACTTCTCTTATAATATTTATATTATTTATATTTATTTATATTATATTTATAATATGCGTATTTTAAATATTTACAAAATATCAAGTATGAATTATAAATGTTACTAATATTAATATTGTTAACAATTCTAATACTAATGTACATACATATAAGATACTGATCACAAAAAATAAACATAACTTTCTTCTTATTTCACTAATTTCTTATTATTCGAGCCGAAATAATTTCACATACTTCAAGAAAGAGTCTCCAGCGGGTTAAGTGAACGCGATGGGCTATCCGCTTTTTCTTGAAAATTAATTTTTTTAAAAACTATAACAGGAATTGATTTGGAATTTTGCAGAAAACTTCCTGAAATAGTAGTGAATAAATATTATAAGAGAAGTTCTTACAGTTTTGAAATTCCCTGCAGACATTTTATCGTCAAAAGTTAGAAAATGTGAATATCGACCTCTTTCAATTTTTAATTAAAAATAATAAAACAATAATTTTTTTTGCCTTTTCTAATGTTTTAATGGCTTTATTAGACCTAATTTAGTATGTATACCAAGTTGTAAACAAATTTATTACTATTTGTGAAAGAAATAATCGTTTACATTTTAAAATTTCATTACATTTAATAAAATTTTTTTTGGGCTTTTTGCTTTTATTATCAAAAATATTAGATTTAAAAAAAAGTTTCTAAGAGAAAAAAGATATGTTTTTTTATCTTCTATAAAGTAGTGCTTCTGAAAAATCCGAATTTTGAGTTTCAATTTTGAGGTGTTGATTGGCTTCAAAGCGACCGGCCGAGCGTACTGGTTGTTATTGTTTCCGGCCCCTCAATTGTTTAAACAAATAGTAATTTTTATTGATTAATATTTCTCACAGATTATTTAGAAAAAAATATTCTATTTTATTATTTTTAAAATTTATCAAATTTTACACTGCAATTCATGTTTAAAGTTAATACAATGCTTTTGCGAGTACCATATGTCGTAAAATTAGTGAATAACAATTTGTTTAAACAATTGTTGAAATAATGACATTTATTTAAATTTCCAGCCATTTATTATATTTAGTTTTATAAATTGTCACGCGATAAAATATTATGAAAAAAATTTATGTATTTTTTTAAATGTTCTTTCGATAGTCTTAATAAAAAAATGTATGTATTTTTTTAAATGTTCTCTCGATAGTCTTAATAAAAAAATTTATACGCTACTGTAGAAATCTTCATTACTAACCTTTGATGATGTAGAAATCTTTATTACCGACTTTTGATAATATAGAAATATTCATTGCCGACTTTTTGATAATACAAAAATCTTCAGTACCGACTTCTGGTAATATAGAAACTGTTATTTACGACTTCTGATAACATTGAAATTTTCACAACTGATTTGTAATAATACAGAAATTCGTATTAACGACTAAAATATTACTATCTCGGTATTATTTAGCTGTGATTTTTGTTTAGTTTTCAATTAATAATAACTATACTGTCGATTATAAATGTTAACGATAGTTAATATTGTCAATTATTAAAATTATTATTATATAAAAATTATTATTATTATTATTATTAAAATTTTACTGTATTTCACAGTAAATTATAAATAGCCGTCTAATAATTGGGTTAGTCCACTGACTTTCGTCTAATACTGCCCTACAACGGAAAAAGATACATAAGCCACAAATAGGTCGAACGGAGATATTTGAGAAAAACCATTTGCATCAAAAACTTCATTTAGAATTCATTTTTTATGAATAAAAATATCCCTAATGGGGTAAATCGGATGTGCTCTTTCTATTTTTGCAAAAAAAATTAATTATTTAAACAATCCCTTTTAAAAAATGCACTTGCGTAGTTTTTTTAGTGCAAATACAACGTAAAAAGAACACAAAGTCGCTTGTGGTGTTTTTCGTTGTAAAGTCATCGAGCGGATCAAAGATGTCCAGCGAAGAATATACATAAGGGACAAGAGAGTATGGGATTAGAGTATGGCACTTGTGTATAGTCTCCACTGGACATCTTTGCTCCGCTCGATTATTTTACAAGCTAAGAAATACACAAGCGCGCTTGCGAATATCGTTCTGTAAACGAAGCCGAGCTCGGCCGCTTTTGCAACGGAAAAAGATACATAAGCTACCTCGTGTATATTCTTCCATTGTATTTTGTGACGTATTTCATGCCTCCTACAGAATTTAGGCAACGCAAAGTACCTCATGTGTCTTTTTCCGTTGTATTTTCTCATTTTTCGCGAATTGCAATATTTTCAATCTTAATTTTTTATTATAAATAATTAAAATTTTCAATTTTAATTACGATAGTCAGATGCAGCTTTTTATTACGAATCCATTGATACCAAAAACTCATTTTTGACCAAAATGTCACTTATGTATCTTTTTCCGTTGTAGGGCAGAATAGTGGTTGCGACCAAATTTTAAAAAAATCTAGTTTCAAGATATGTGAAACTCGATGATTCCCTGAGTTCATTAACCATAATAAAATAAAATAATAACCATAATAAAAATTTTATTCCTTTTGAAAATATTAAATATCAAAAGTAGGAGGTTCACAATGTGATTTTGTAACCTTAAATTTTTCAATTTTTTTAAAAACGCTATTATTAAAAAACTATTAAAAATTAGATGTTGGAACTCACCAAAAACATAAATCACTTTATTTCGCACAGAGGAACGAAAGAATTATTGCAAAAATTTATCATTTTTAGATGATATACGATTTTAAAAAAAATTTTATTTAAATATTCTCAAGATTTTTATTTACTTATAACTTTTTTGTCGGTGCTCCAAAAAAATTGAGGTTTTGCACAAGATTTTTTATAATATTCTTTACCTTCTATTAAAATCTTACGAAGGTGTTTTGCTTCGTTTTGGAGATATTAATTTTCAAAATTTTTTATTTAAAAAGGTTAATTAAAAAACTTGAAGTTAACTAACCAAATTCAAATTGCTACATTTTAATATATTTTCATAAAAAATGGAGCAGTTTGAATTTGGTTAGTTAACTTCAAGTCTTTTAATTAACCTTTTTAAATAAAAAATTTTGAAAATTAATATCTCCAAAACGAAGCAAAACACCTTCGTAAGATTTTAATAGAAGGTAAAGAATATTTTAAAAAATCTTTGTGCAAAACCTCAATTTTTTCGGAACACCGACAAAAAACTTATAAGTAAATAAAAATCTTGAGAATATTTAAATAAAATTTTTTTTAAAATCGTATATCATCCAAAAATAATAAATTTTTGCAATAATTCTTTCGTTCCTCTGTGCAGAATAAAGTGATTTATGTTTTTGGTGAGTTCCAACATCTAATTTTTAATAGTTTTTTAATAATAGCGTTTTTAAAGAAATTGAAAAATTTAAGGTTACAAAATCACATTGTGAACCTCCTACTTTTGATATTTAATATTTTCAAAAAGAATAAAATTTTTACCATAATATTATGGTTAATGAACTCAGGGAATCATCGAGTTTCACATATATGTATTAAAACTAGATTTTTTTAAAATTTGGTCACAACCACTATTAGACGAAAGTCAGTGGACTAACCCAATTTAAATATATTTTTAACATAGGTAACTAAAAATGTATTTGTAAAACGGGCTGAAAAATTATTTTTTGCATTTATTGAAAAAAAATGTTTTTCCAAATAAAAAATATGTTATTTTTTTCATTGATGCGTATAGAAATTTATTCATATATATATATTTTTTTTTTTTTTGACGTACCTTCATTGATAAGAGGATAACAACACTCGAAATGCCGAGGACTGTGTCGGTCCAGCGAATTTTGCTGATATTTTGAAAGAGGCACATCAAACTATCAAGGACTGCTATCGCTTCATACTCTAGTCCCAATAAATGCGGCAATTGATGCACGATTAAAATAACTGCAGTGGCAGAAGTAAATCCCGTACTAACAGGAATCGATATGAAATCCACGAGGAAACCTGGCAAAATTGTGGTTTTGATTAAACTTCATTTATATATATATATATATATATATATATATATATATATATATATATATATATATATATATGGCGCATAACGGCCGTCAATTTTTATTATTATTATTATTATTATTTTATACATATATATATATATACACTAGCATTTACAAACTAAACTCAACAATCGTTATAATATTTTGATATATTCGAGTTACATTCATATCATCAGATTAATACTGCGTATTATAATATTTCATACTCGTGGATCCCATTTGCCAAATGATGATAATATTGTGATAAATTATCTTTATAATCGTAAAAGAAGATAAAACGTATTTATTATTTTGCACTTGTTTTATTTACTTTGTTAGTATTAAATTATAACAATGAAAATTTATACTACAATTAAATCGAATAAATATATATATATATATATTTGGAGGAGGAGGGGGGGGGGGTGATCAACGCCATTTCAATTTCATTTTTGACATTTTTGATTTGGTTAACAAATTTTTTTTTTTCTTTTCTTTAATCTTTTTGTACTCAATGAAAAAGGATTCCTTTATGATATTTTTCCAATTTTTTCATCAAATCATTTACGAGATATGAATTTTGCAAAATTAAAAAATTTTCTTTGAATTCTTCTAAATATTAATAAAAAGGAATCAGTTATTGAAATTTTGTGCTTTTAAGTGAACTTTTTGAAAATTTTATGAAGAAAAAAAAAATGATAGAAAAATAATTTACTATATTTTTTGCGAAATTAATAATTAAAAGGTAAATGCACTAATTACGGCGCAATTCGAGTCAAAACACTTTTGAAATAGAAATTAAATTAAATTGATAAAGTCAATTTAAGACTTATTAAACTAAAAGGTTATGTTAGTTAGATATGAAAAAAAAAATTTTAACTTTATAAAAATCGATTATTTAAATAAATATGAGAAATTAAAACTAATACCGTAATTTTTTATAACGGAGCGTTTGTATCAATTTCGGTTTATCAATTACGATGACCAAAATTACGTGTGTATTTTGAAAATACTTTGCCCACCGTAATTGGAGCCAATGGAAATCTTAAAAATGTTTCAATTACGGCGAGGGAAAAAATTTAATCTCAAATAATTAAATTAATAACTGTTTAAATATGCATCTTTATTAGTAATTGTATGAAAAAAAAATTTAATAATTATTTAAATAATTTTACAACAGTTATATTAAATATAATAGTAATAATAGTTATTTTTTATGAACGCGCGGTAATTGATGCACTTACCCTAATTGTATTTTTTAAATTGTTTTTTATCATTTTTATTTGGGGTGGGGGATAAAAATAATTATACAATATTTATTAAAAATTAAAAATATATTTTTTTTTATTCGTAAAGTCAATTAAAATTTAATAATTGTAATATAAAAATATGTAATTACAAACCTAAATTAAGTAAACCCATTGCCAGTTCCACGCATCCGGCTAAAAATCCGAGTAGTATCACAAAATCAAGTGGCATTCCCGATGTGAATTCAAGTGTCAAAAGTGCCATGAGAGATGTTGGTCCAATTGATACTTCTCTAATACTTCCAAAAAATATGTAAATAAATCCACCGATAAATGTGGAATAAAGTCCATACTGTAAAAATTATTTTAAATAAATATAATTATTTTTCCTCTTTAATCAAGAGTTGACTGTTATCAGTATATAATAAATATTAAAGGAATTTAAAAAAAAAAAGAAAAAATTTTTGGCAAATAGGTACTCTTTTTTTTTAATCTTAATAATTAATAAAATTATTTTTCAAAAATTTTATATTATGTTAGATTATATAATTTTCCTCTTCAATAGAGAGGAAATTCTTTTAATTATAATTATAAATTTATTCCTGTTTTTTTTTTTAAATCAAAAATATTTTTCACTTTTACTCAAAAATGCTATTTTTTTATAAAAAAAATTTTTTTTAAATAAAAATAAAAAAAAATTATTTATGGAATAAATATTTATTTTTATCAAATAATTATTATTTGAGTCAATAAAATGATATTTGTTTCAAATACAAAAAAATTATTGGTTCAAGTACAATTTATTTAATTCAAATAAAAATTATTTGATTCAAGTAAATATTTATTTGATAATAGTCATAAGCAACCGATTATTTGAATCAAATAAATTTTTTTTTCATTGTGTTTATGTACAAAATAAATACTAAATAATAATCTTATAAAATATATTTTAATTAATTAAAAAAAATGTTGTCACGATCAAAATTCTCCGTCCGTGTAATAAATATATCACCGTTTTAATTTTTTAATTAACTTTTTTATTTTACTGAATCTTGCGAAAACAAAAAAAAGGACATTTTCATATTTTTGTACTGAAAGTATAAATTTTAAACTTTTTTTTTAAATTCTAATTTTTTAAAAAAAGTAAAAATATTTTTGATTTTTCAAAAAAGGGTTAATTTTTGAATTTTTTTTTTACCTTAGGACTAAACTATATGCAAATTTTAATCTGCTCTGAAATTTTTTTTTTAATTTTCATCACTTTAGAAATTTTGGTCACATTTCTATTACAATAAAATATAAATTAAAATTAAAATAGGTAATACAATAATTATTATACTTATTGCAAAAAGTATATAAGAGATTTTTTTTCTGTGAGTGATATATATAGGGTTTTTCTTTGTTTTCTTTTAACAAAATTAATACAAATTATGAAGAGAGTTTCGTCTCCTCTCTTTTGTTTATTTGTTGAAGTTACACAAAATTTATTTCATCCAATGCACAATTTAATTAAATATATATAGGTATATATATAAAAGCCTGTCATATTCATTTTCGAGATATTCACACTGTCGTTTTTTTTCCGTCGTAGCAATATACTTTTTTTAATTAAATATTTTAATGTTTGCAAAAGACAGTGACATTCTGCAAAATTTTTAGCGCAACCCGTGACATTTGAAAAGAGAGATAAATATAACAAAATATTATAAAATCGCTTCATTACCATTTTTAATTAATAATTTATCTTTGCATTTATATGACTTTTGATTATGTCAATTTCTATTATAACTTAATTAAAAAGAGGAAAAATAATTATAATTTTCAAAACAGTATTTATAATAATTATTACAATAATAATAATAATAAAAATAATATTAATAATAATAATATAAATAAATAACAAATAATAACAAATTTATAATAATATAACAAATAATTAAATAATATATAATAGTAAGAATAATAAATAATAATAAAAAAATATAATAATAATAATAATAAATAAATAAATAAAATGAAAAAATCATTTGAATAAAAGGCCGAGAAATTAATAATTTTTTTTTTTAAATGACATTAAACTAACAAGAAAGTTAAGATAATTTATGAAAACGATTTAAATATTAATTTAAAAAAAAAATCATTTAACATTGACAGGTTTTTTTTCTTTGTATAGCAATTATTTAGATATTTTTCAGGTCAAGTAGAAAAGTAGAATTAATATTTTGCTATAATGTTTTTTTGTTGAATTAAAAATATTTCATTGACTGCATCTTTTTATCAACAAGTTACTTTTTTATTGTTTCATTTCACATAAATTATTATCAGCTGATTATTATTAATAAGGTCTTTGTGTTTTTTTCCGCGCAATTTATAAATTATTCCGTTACTTTTCTTTTTTAATAAATAGTAATAGGTTTTTTTTCCCCCTTTTTTTTCTCATTTATTTTAGCATTGCGTTGAAATTTGTTTATATTTTACTAATTTACTAATTTTACTAATTTATTTAAAATAATTTTATTTTATTTTACTATTTTTACTAATTTTTTACTAAAATATTATTATTTAAATTAGTAATATTTTATCTACTAAAGTTTTAGTGAAAAATTACTAAAAAAAGTAGTAAAAATTTCCACTACAGTTTTAGTAAAAAATAATTCAAAATTGGTAGAAAGTTTAGTAATACTATTTTACTACAGTTTTAGTGAAAAATGACTAAAAATTTATAGCAATTTTTACTAAATTGTTATTATTTGAATTAGTAATATTTTTTTTTTACTAAACTTATATAATAGTGAAAAATGAGTGAAAATAGTAGAAATTTTTACTAATTTTTACTGAAATATTACAAAATGATTTAGTAATATTTTTTCACTATAATATTTCTATTTAATTTAGTAATACTATTTTACTACAATTTTAGTGAAAGATGACTAAAAATTAGTAGAAATTTTTATTTATTTTTACTAAAATTTTACTAATTGATTTAATAATATTTTTTTACTAAAGTTTTAGTGAAAAATTACTAAAAAGTAGTAAAAATTTCCACTACAGTTTTAGTAAAAAATAATTCAAAATTGGTAGAAAGTTTAGTAATACTATTTTACTACAATTTTAGTGAAAAATGACTAAAAATTAGTAGAAATTATTTACTCATTTTTTTTTTTTAAATTTTACTACTTGATTTAATACTATTTTTTTACTATAGTTTTAGTAAAAAAATGACGTAAAAATTAGTAAAAAATATTCAATAATTTTTTAGTAAAATAATTATATATAATTTAGTATATCTTATTTTTTTTACTAAAAGTTTTTAGTGAAAAATGACTAAAAATTAGTTAAAAATTTTCACTAATTAAATTAGTTAACGAATTCGCACTGATTCAAAAGAGTGTATTATTTATAAGTTATAATTAAATTTTTGTCTTAGGATTTGATGAATTTTTGTTTTTTTTGCAAATAAAATATTAATTTTATTTTTAAAAAAATTACTTCATAATTTGTAAAAATCTAATTATTTTCAAGAAAGAAAATTTATTTCTTTGATTTAAAAAAATAAATTGTACCCTAAATATATGTTTTACAGTAAAAAACAAATAAAAAAAAAAAATTATTTCGCACCTGAGGAGTGAGTCCAGCAATTGCGGCATATGCAATACTTTGTGGTATCATTGTGAGACCCAAAGTAATTCCAGCCACGAGGTCGGAAATTGCTTGAAATTTCGTATAAATTGGAAGCCATTTTGATACCGGTATATATTTGGCAGAAAAATTTTGACATTTTGTTTTTTCTTCTCTCACATTTCCAATTGTTTTATTATTCACTTTCGACATTTTTTTTTAATCACTAAAAAAGCAAAAAAAAAAAAAAAATTGTCAAAATATTTAAAATTCACTTTTTTCAAAATTTCTCCTGAATAATTAAAAAATGAATCAGAAATTCCTCTTTGAAATTTTCATTTTTGACATATAAAAAAAAATAAGAATTTTCCAACACTTAAATTTCACTTTTTAGAAATAATTTCAAAATGCACAAAATGTAAAATTTACTGCACAAAAAAAAAATCACTTTAGTGAACACATGGTTTCTGTTTTTTTTTCTGACTGAAGAAAGAAGAAGGAATGATTTTTTTTTTTTTTTTTTTTTTTTTTAAAGATCCAACGACACAACAGCTAACAAATTATGACTGACAATATTGTCCTCGTTATAGCACTAATGTTTAACCTTATCACAACACATCCGCTATCTTCAAAGCACATTGTAAATTCTAAGCATCGAGGGAAAATGATTTCTTAAAAGAGAGTCATTTACTAAAGCACACACCTCATCGACTTCCGAGAACGAATATACGCTCCGCTGTATTATACTCTATTGACACACACTGATAATGATGATTGCGAGGTCATAAACCCGAAAAATCTAACCTTGATGCTTTGATAAATTTTATATATATATATATGGATCGTACATGAAGAGAGTTGAAATTAATATCAATGTGACGAAACTTTTGTCCCATTATAAAAAGTGACGTTTGAATGTTGAGACATATTTCTATTCCTGATGACTTGCTTGCTCGTGCACCGCACTTGTACTACAAGTATAAGAGAAGAGGCAGAAAAAAATAATAATAAAAAAAAAATCCAGATAAAGATAAGAAAGTACGTAATTCAATATTGCACTGGTACCAGGGAGAAAATCTCATGATCTGAGTTCAATGTTCCGGTTATCAGAACTCTTGTGAGCTTTTATAACATTGTTGAGATTCAGGGAATTTTTTTTTTTTTTTTTCTTCTTCTTTTTTAATCCAATTTTCCCTCTGTCTTCATCTCTACGGTTTTTTTTTCTTCATATTCTAAGTCCAATGGATATTTGGTTTGTATGATTTTTATTGTCCGAGAGAGAGAGAGAGAGAGAGAGAGAGAGAGAGAGAGAGAGAGAGGAAAAAAATCTTCGAGTGTTCCTCTATGATGAGAAAGAAAAATTAAGAGTCGTACATGGATAAGGTTTTTTTTTCATTTTAATATCTGGAAAAAAGTTTAAAAATTTATATATTAGTGAGAATTTGTTAACTTATTTATGTTAGTAAAAATTTCTATTACTTTTTTTTTTATTTTTCACTAAAAAAAATTTGGTGAAAAAAAATATTACTAAAACAAATAGTAATATTTTTACTAAAAATAAGAAAAAATTTGTACTAATTTTTTAGTTATTTTTCATTACAATTTTTGGAAAAAATTATTACTAAATCAAATAGAAATATTTATTCTAAAAATTTGTAAAAAGTTATTACAATTAAGGTCATTAAATAAAAAAAAATTAAGTAATATTTTACTATAAAAATTAGTGGAAACTTTTACTAATTGTTAGTCATTTTTCAATGAAATTGTACACTGAGAAAAAGAATTATTTGTTTCAAATATAAAGATCAGTTTAAAAGTTTTTGTTTAACCCAACACAGTTTTTATGTTTAATTTTAATATATAGAAAATATTTTCTACTTTGGCTTAAAATTATTATTTGTTTGAATAATTATGTTTGATTCAAACATATTTTCTGTTTGGCTTAAACTGAAAATATGTTTAAAATTTTTATGTTTAATTTAAACATAAAAATTTATTATGAATAAATTGAAATCAACCATAATTTATGTTTAAATTAAATATATTTTCACATTGAATCAACCAGAGAATATATTTAATTTAAACATAAATATGTTTTACTGTATAACAAAGCTATTTTAAGTTTGGGTTAAACATATTATGTTTGAATCAAACATATCGTTTTCTCAGTGTAGTAAAAAATATTATTAAATCAAATAGCAATATTTTACATACTAAACTTAAGGTCCTTGAAGAAATAAATTGAATAGCATTTTACTAAAAATTAGTGGAAATTTTTTACAAACTTTTAGTCATTTTTCACAGAAATTGTAGTAAAAAATATTACAAAAATAATTATTAATATTTTACTAAAAATTATTGAAAATTTCTACACACTAAATCTGAATTAGTGAAAAGTGAGCTACTAATTTAAATTAGTAAGAATTTTTACAAATTTTTAGTCACTTTTTACTAAAACTTTAGTAAAAAAAAAAAATTTTTAAACTACTAAATCAAATAGTAATATTTTACTAAAAGTTAGTGATAATTCTTCCTCATATGAATTACTAGCTTACATTTCACTAATTCAAATTTAGAGAGTACTAATGTTTATAGTAATTTTTTACTAAAAGTTATTTAAAAAAAATTGTACTAAATCAAATTAAGTGTAAAATTTTATTAAAAAATAGTGAAATTTTTATTTACTAATTGTTAGTCATTTTTCACTAAAATTGTAGCAAAAAATATTATTACTAAATCAAATTAGTAATATTTTATTTACTAAACTTAAGGTCCTTGAACAAATAAATTGAGTAATATTTTACTCACAAATTAGTGGAAATTTTAACTAAATTTTAGTCATTTTTTACTGAAATTGTAGTAATAAAATATTACTGAAACAAATATTAATATTTTACTAAAAATTATTGGAAATTTCTACTGAAGTTTATAGTCATTTTTTACTTAAACGTTTTAAAAAAAAAAATTGTATACTAAATCAATTAGTAATATTTTATTAGAAATTAGTGAAAATTTTTAGTTTTCATTCAGTTTAAGTTTTTTAAATTGTTAGTCATTTTTCACTAAAATTGTAGTAAAAATATTACTAAATCAAATAGTAATAATTTATCAAAAATTAGTGAAAATTTCTAATCACTTTTAGATATTTTTCAATAAAATAAAGAAAATATTACTATAACAAATAGTAATATTTTACTTGTAAATTTAATTAGTGAACGAATTCTCAACTAATTCAAATTTAGAAAGAAGGAGGTGGATTTTAATTATTTTATCTAATTAAATATTTATTTACATTTAATAAAAATGTCTTTTCTTGTAAAAATTTTACTTGAAATTATTTTTTCATCTTGAAAACTTTAAAATCTCTGTATTTCAAAAAAAAAAATTTAATTTCTTGTTTTTTTGTTAGTAGGCAACAATTTTTTTATGATAAATTTAGAATTATATTATTTTACGTAATCAAAATTTAAAAAATCTATTTTTGACTATATTAGTAATTTTTGTTGTTAGAAAATATGAAAAAAAAATTTTAAATCCACGATTGTTCAAAATCATAAGAAATTTTTTTTTAAAAATTGTCTATATTATGTAGAATATTTAAAATTTTGGAAGAAGTTAAATTTTTACATTTTTTTTTCAATTGATCAAAATTTACATTATGTAGAGTTGTCAATTTTTTTCATCCTTTTTCCGAACCTTGAATCGTATTACAATTTACATGAAAATTGAAGGAAAATAATTTTTGGCTGTTTAATATTTTGTAAAAAATTTTTTTTAGAAATTTTACTTTTAGAAAGAAATTAATTATATTTTTCCATACAAAAACAAAAAAAAACAAGTAACTTGATTATGTGATATTATTTTCACTTTCACTAATTTTAATTTTCATTCTCATTTTCACTTCCACTCGCACCAATTCATTCATATTTTTACTCAAATTAACATTTTGATATCCACTGTCACTTTTATTTTCACTTTCACTGGTTCTAAATTTCACTGTCATTTTTATTTTCACTTTCATTTCTATTTTCACTTTCACTGGTTCTAATTTCCACTCTCACTTTCATTTTTGCTTTCACTGATTGAAAATTAGTGAAAGTGGAAATGAAATTTTACGTAAAAATGAAATTGTGAATTAAAATTATAATCAGTGGAAGTGGAAGTGAAAATGAAAGTGAGAATCAAATTGAAAATGAGATTGTAAATGAGAGTGAAAATTAAAATCATTTGAAGTAAAAGAAAAAATGAGAGTAACAATTAGAATCACTGGAAGTAAAAGTGAAAATGAAAGTGAGAGTGAAAATGAAAATCAGTAGTAGTGAAATTAAAAATAGAATTACATAATCGACCTCTAGATTGTTTAATCCAGAGATTTTGTGAGTTTTAGAAAAAAATTTGCTAAGTTGAGCATATTAAAAAATTAATTAATTAATAGTTAATTTTGTATTAAAAATAAATTTGTTTTAATTAATAAAAATGACTAACACAATAATATATATGTATATATATATATATAAAGATGATGATACACTTTTAATTGCGAATTGTTACAAACTCTAATAGACACTACATAATGAGATAATGCTTTTCTTTATTTTACAATATATATTTTTAACCTTGAAACAATTAAAAGTTTCTAAAAAAAAAAAATTTTTTTTTCCTTCATAGTATCGATAGACTAACTATATATATATATTTTTAACTCTTAGAGATTATTTATGTCTATAGTCAATGAAATTAATAACTTGTTTGCTTTCCATTAATGCGCAAGTCGTTATATTATAAATGTTATCTATATACACGTTTTATTTATACAAATGTAAACGAAATTTAGTTATCTCATCATCTGTTAATGTGTTTGTAGAAAATATTGTTCGTTCCAGTCAAAAAATAAAAAAAAAATATCTATGCCACGTTTAATTAATACAAACATAAAATATTCTCAAAATTTAACTTTCAATATACGAAACAAAAATTTTTTATAATTAGTGTATTTTTCCACTGCAATAATTTTTAATGTTTTGATATTGAAATTTAATGTTCATTTTGTTTTTCGTCAATTTAAGAGAAAAAATTTTTCTATTTTTAACAATTCGATTATTATTGAGAGTTAAATGTTTTTGGTTTGGTATAACTTTGTTTGTCGCTTTATATGCTATCTTCTTAACATAATGAGCACGTGTTTATTTTTTAACAAGGCATTCTTCTATATATATATATATATAATTATATCACATATATATTATCTATATTATATAACATTTTAATCATTTTTGAACGTAAAATAACACTCTTGAGAAATGTTGCACATTTATTTTTAATACACAATATATGAGTTAGCATTTTCATTTGTTTGTCTGTCTACGCGGTTATCTCTCTCACCTTTAAATCACAAAAAATGTTGGACCGGATATTCATCAAGTTTATTTTACATTTTTATAAAATAAAATGTATTTTTTGACTCTTTTGCATTTTTCAAATTAGAATTTTAGATTTTAAAATATAAATTTTTTAAAATCTAAAATAATAACCGAAAGGTGTCAATTTTTTTGTAGTTGTACTTATAATTTTAACAAGAATTTTAAAGTAGCATTTTTTTTACAATATCTTTTTGTAAAACTAAAATTTTTATATTCTGAATTTGCAACAGTTGATAATAATAATAAAAATTATTATTATTATAAGAAGAATAAAAATAACAACAAGAACAATAATATTAATACACGGGAAAAAATATAAAGTAACTTTTACTATTTACAAAGTAAAACCTAAATTGTCCTGATCTTCTGCCTATTTCTGGCAACTTTAGAAAAAAATATAAAAAAAATTACAACAAAAAATAGTAAAGTTTACTCCTGAAATAGTAGTTTTTACTATTTACGGAGCAAAAATTGACAGAAGTGCGCAGAATAATAATAATAATTAATAAAATAATTTTCATTTTATTGAGCATTGATATTTTAAAATAAATTCTTTTGTATCCAATGCAAAAAATTTCCCCAGTTTGCTTTTTATAAAATGGAGCTTTGATCCAATTTTAATTAAATAATTAATTAATTTTAATTGTAAAAGT